GGTGAGGTGCCACGGAGGGAGGTCGGGGAAAAGAATTTGTTGGATGTCTTGTTTGGAAAAATGTAAGTTTTTGAGGTCCTCAAGGATTATGATTTTTGTAGGTGATTCGACTCCGGGGCTCCCAGCCCGCTACCGAGCCCAACAAGGGGACACATTGCTCGGATAACCGGAGCTGTGCCAGGGCTACCCCGGAGCTATATTCTTCACCTGAAAGTACAAGACCCTCCCGTCAAGATTGACCCAGGGCTTGAAGGGGTTTCAGCTATCAATCGATTGAGTGGCATGAGCCGTGCCACACTCCCGTCTAAGAGGAAAACCTGGGCCAAAGAGGTAGACTGATCTCACCTCAACGGCCAGGTACCCGGTTTCCCTCCGCACGGGTCGAACCTAACGGGCAACAAGGTGCCCACTCAGTTGGATGGGTGACCTCTCTTTTTGCTGCACATGAGGTCAGCGGTGGGAGAAAAGATAGAAGAAGGAAGAAAGGAGGAAGGAGAAGAGGAAGATACACACAAGTCGGTGTCGCATCCGGATCCCAGAGGGTTGGGGACCGTGTGCGACACCTCGTCTTTGAACGAGTTGCACCTCCTGTAGACGAAGCAACGGAAATCGGCGAGCCAACAGTTGACCCACTGGTTTCATTTCATGAAACATTTGAAAAAGTTCTAAATGTGTGATACTTTTTTAACTGTCACAGACTAAGTCAGTTAACCCCGGATTGTGACAGAAGCTCTCTGAATGGAAACAAAGCAGTGGTCATTGTTTAGAGTTGAGATATCCTCTCAAATACATGTATATTGAAACATATTTGAAGTGTTTAAACGGTCTGATAGAAGTGAACTAGAAGGCTATTTAAGCTCCCACAATGTCCCACAAAACCTATTAAAGTGCGGTCAGAAATTGTTGGCACAACTTATCCTCAAATATCTCTTAAACGGGTAAAACATTGTCGCCATATTTTTTTACGGAAGACAACACTACAATAAAGAAAACACCCTAAACCTACCCCTTACCTAAACCCTATCCCTACACCAACCTAACCCCTACCCTACCCCAAACCTAAATCTAAACCTACCCCTTACCTAAACCCTACCCCTACACCAACCTAAACCTTACCCTACCCCAAACCTAAATCTAAACCCTACCCCTACCCCAAACCTAAACCCAAACCTTAACCCTACCGCAAACCCTACCTCTACCCCTATCCCCTGCCCCTCTGTTCTACTCTGTCTCACAGTGGTCGCTCGTTACGGAAGTCCTCCCCTTTGGACAGTTGTTTTGTATCAATCTATCTTAACTTAATCATATTTTTTCACGATAATTGAGGCTACATTGAAAAACTTTTCTTCATAAATTAAAAAATACTATAATTCTCCGTCAAACGGAAAATTTTATGGTTCACAGCACTCCCCGCTTTTCATACAATTTTTGCATTTGCATAAGCTTATGTCACAACTCACTACTGACACTTTTTAGTGGCAAAACTAGTTACAAGAAATTAATTTTATAGTTATCATATTTTTGCACCAAAAGTTCTCAAAAACATTTGTTTAATAAAAATAATCGTGCAATTAGAAAAAAAGCTGAGGGGACTTGCCTTAAAAGCAATATTGTATTTATTTAAGAATTTTCTACAATACAACTAACAGGTGTTTACAAAAATATTGATCTGTTAACCCAATCCTTACGTCGTGTTTTACTATCGTATCCGTACGACGTGGGGAACTGTGTGCCACCACTTTCCAAAGAGGAAATCTACTTGTTAATCCGATCCGTACGCTTTGCATAGCAGTCTGTCAAAATGATTTTTTGAGAAATACTGAAAGTTTCAAAGAGATCTTCGTACTAGAAGTATTCTAAAATGTGAAGAATACAACCCCGGGGGTACAAAATGACCCCAGTGCGTACGGTAGGGTTAAGACAAATTGATACAAGTTACTGTGCACAAGCTGGATAGTTTAGGAGATATTTGATAATAAGTTGTGCAATGAATTTTTGACCGCACTGTAGTACTGATAGTGCATGTGGGGCAACTCTTCTTTTACCTGACAAAGTTTGATTCACCGAGTTGTGTCCCTTGTCTTCTGCTACCCTCTGACGCCATGAGGATAAGAACTTATAATATTATACCATAAAAGAACATGTTGTATATAAATAATTTATTACATGAGTTGTGGTGTAAGATCATGATTTATTCTACGAGTGAAATTGCCAAGTTGTAATCACGAGTTTCAACGAGGGATTACAACTTGCAATTTCACAATAAGGATAAATCATGGTCTAACACCACAACGAGTGTAATAAATTTTTTATACCATACTGATATCAGCTGGCGAAATATGTCCGTATGAACAAAGTTCATATGACCCGTCAAATGGACAAGAGAATGCATTCTAGAGTCTCACATGAAAACAACATGATCATTATGCCCGTCGAAGTCAGATTGAGAATTGGGAAAAATCTGGATTGTTTACCTTTACTTTTAGCCACGCTAATTTACAAGTTGTGCTATCCGTATGTCTCCCTCCGCGAAACAAACCCCAAATAAAACTATAATAACGTAAATATAAGCAAAGTAATAAGAAAATGTACGATTCAAAAGTTGAAAGAAACTGCATTAATATGGCATGTTTTTGTTAGAATAGAGATGACTGATTTTGATTTCAAACTTCGTAACCAAAACAAACCAAAGTCAAAGAGTTAGACTATTCTCTAGATCTAGAGTTATATCTAGATCTAGATATTAGAACTAACGCATTGCTTTAAATTGGTCAAAGATGAAAAAAAAAGCCTTTTTTAACAACAAAGGTTGTCAAGTTACTTGAATACTGACGTGCTGATTCTAAATATGTAGTTAGATATCTAGTTTTTGTCTATCTATTTCCGATATTCTGGATTTTATAAGGGGAGGTAAGAATATCAGAATAACAAGGGAAGTAACTTTTATTATTTCCAAAAAAGTAATTATCCAAGAGTGTTATACTCGTATATTGACTAATATGATATTTATCAATTACATATTGTTTTAAAGTTTAATCTTCTTTGATTTATTTAGTTGATCATTTAGTATATGAAGTGATAGAGTTAATGTAAACAAAAATTCAAAAAGCAATGCAAGTGACCTAGACAGTGGGTTTTTTTATTGTTTGATAAAGTGACTATCAAATTTCAAAACTTTGTAACTATGTCAATTTGTCTTTCATGAACATCTCATTTATTCAGGCTGATATAGGCCTAGATCTAGATTGGATAAATCTGTGTGGCGCTATGTAGTAAACTGTTCACTATTTATTTATTTATTTATTTAGTCATGTTGTCGTGTTGTAGATCTTTCATTTTGATAATTAAAATTTATTTAGTTCTAGATCTAGATCTAGTGTCCACTGTACGTCCACTCATTGTGTTTATCTAGTGTGCTGCTACAATGTCTGAGAGCAAAAAGAAATTCCCAAACATCAATTGTACTAGATCTAGATATCTAGATCTAATTGATGTGAAAGAGGGCAGTTTAGCTGCACCTGACAAGTCGCATTATTATGAAAACCCATTAGAATAAATGATTATTTTATTCGAGAAATGAACTAAACGTAACAACACCATACCCTGGCGTAGATCTAGAGATCTAGATCTAGATCTAATCCCGATTCATTACGGTGCCCATCATTTGACTCTATTTGAAACAAAATTAAGGGCACCATAGATCTAGAAAGATTTGAACCTATACTCGACTATAAGAGACTGGGAGACTGGTGCTTGGTTGCCCATGGTGAGCGCGCTTTGCAGCGAAGTTTTTACGTTTTTACTAGATCTAGATTTAAATATTTAGATCTAGATTTAGATCTAGGCTACTTTGCTTAGCCTACACAGAGGGATAGAAGTAGAAGGCGAATATAGATCTAGTGCGCGGAGTAATTTATGCACATTTTTATATTTCACGTGTGAGATATCAGCTTATATTTCACGTGTGAAATATAAGGAAATATTTCACCGGAAGTGCAATGCTAAAACAGCTCCAAGTATGGTATTCAAATTATTATTATTATTATTATTT